CCGCAGCGGGAGCCCCGGCCCGCCCGCCCCCCCAAACCCGCGCCGGCGGTGCCGGGATTCCCGGCGGGTGGCGGCCCCGCCGCTCTCGGGATGAGTGAGGGCTGCCCCCCGACCCGGCCCCGCAAGCTGCCAGGCTGCTGGAAAGGAAAGGAGAAGAGGGGGAACTCCCGTTCCCGCCGCACCCCCCATAAAAGCCGGCTCCGTCCCGCCGTCCCCGGCACCTCTCCCTGGGCTGCGGGATGGAGCAGCGCGGCGGTACCGCGGGCAGCGGCGGGAGGGCAGCGCCCCGCAGCGCCCCGCAACGGGGCTGCAGGCACCGCAACGGGCCCTGGGCTCTGCTGCCCGTCCTCTGCCTGGCCCTGGCCCTGCTGCCAACCGTCCGGGCGCTGCCGCCTCCCCCATCACCCCGCCACCGCCTCGCCGAGGGGCTGAGCCGCTCCCGGGAGATGCTGGAGGCCGCTGACGCCTCTCTCCATCGGCTGAAGGTCAGAGAGGGGCTCGGTGGGCAACGGGATGGGGTGGGTTGGTGAGGGGACGTGGGGCATCCGGTGGTGGGACAAGCCATGGTACCCAGAAGGGTGGTGGTGGTACCTACGTAGGAGGTGATGGGTTAGTGAGGGTACCCAGGAGGGGAGTGGTGGTACCCAGGCGGGTGGTGATGGTACCTAGACAGGAGGTGATGGGTTGGTGAGGGTACCCAGACGAGTGGTGGTGGTACCTATGTAGGAGGTGATGGAATTAAAAGGGTACCCAGGAGGGCAGTGGTGGTACCCAGACAGGTGGTGATGGTACCTAGGCAGGAGGTGATGGGTTGGTGAGGGTACCCCAGGAGGGCAGTGGTGGTACCCAGACAGGTGGTGATGGTACCTAGGCAGGAGGTGATGGGTTGGTGAGGGTACCCCAGGAGGGCAGTGGTGGTACCCAGACAGGTGGTGATGGTACCTAGGCAGGAGGTGATGGGTTGGTGAGGGTACCCCAGGAGGGCAGTGGTGGTACCCAGACAGGTGGTGATGGTACCTAGGCAGGAGGTGATGGGTTGGTGAGGGTACCCCAGGAGGGCAGTGGTGGTACCCAGACAGGTGGTGATGGTACCTAGGCAGGAGGTGATGGGTTGGTGAGGGTACCCCAGAAGGGCAGTGGTGGTACCCAGATGGGTGGTGATGATACCTAGGCAGGAGGTGATGGAATTAAAAGGGTACCCAGGCGGGCAGTGGTGGTACCTACGTAGAAGGTGATGCGTTGATGAGGGTACCCCAGGAGAGCAGTGGTGGTACCCAGACGAGTGGTGATGGTACCTAGCCAGGAGGTGATGGGTTGGTGAGGCTACCCAGATGGGTGGTGATGGTACCTAGGCAGGAGGTGATGGAATTAAAAGGGTACCCAAGAAGGTGGGTGCTCTCTGTAGACTCTCTTTAAGACTCTATACCTGATCTTTGCTTTCATGCCTCCCCTTACCCACCCTGTAGGATGGGGATTTGCTCAGTTGTCTTTTCTCAACCCTTATCCACTGACCCCCAGAGAAACACGCACACCGTTAGTGGTGCTGGTAGCACAGCTGCGGCTGATCTGAGCGCCCTCATTTTTGAACACACTTTCTCTAAGGTGCCTGCAGAGCTGGCTCAGGAAATACCTGATGTCAAGCACCTTTCTGCACTAAAGTTCCTTGTCAGTAGTGCCAAGGGGATTTTTTTTGGTTTTTTGTTTGGTTTTTGGCTAAAATTCCCTGCTATCGTTGCAAGCGTCATCTCAGAGAACCACAAAAACCTCTACCCCTAAGCAGGTACATTGTGCCATGCTTGCAGTGGGTCAGTTAGCACTGTTACATGTCTATGTGGATGATATTAGTTACTTTTCACTTTCTAAAATATACTTTATATTTGAAACTATAGCCACACAAAGTTCTCAATAGATTCAATGTCTGAGAGAGAATAATTTAAAGTAATGAAGGCAGTGCAATTCCCAACAATAGACAGAATAAATCTGTGCAAAGCCTGAGCTTATTCCCATTAAACATAACTGCCAAATGCATTTCAGTCTCTTAGTCTATTTTCTAGCTTTTGTGTTTAACCATAGTCCTCACCCAGCCCTCATTCCTATGGTTCAGCTAAGCCCAGGCAGCTGTGACACATCACTTATAATTGTGTGTATTTACAGATATATAGATACACAGTACTGTAAAGCTGAGCCAATGACCCTTTTTCATGCCCTTTTTAACACAGGAGCTCAACACCCTGGGATTTGAATGTATCCTTGAGGAGATTGATCTTGAAGATATCACTAAGAATCAAATCAACACGATAAAAGCTTGTATCTCTGAGGATCCAGGGGTAAATATATATATATAAGTTTTACCATCATATTTTTATGGAACATATTACACATATATAATTCACACTTCCACAAAATCACCAAGTCTCATTTCTTCTTTAATTTGCAGACTGGAAACTGTTCAGTACTGGAAAGATCTACTTTTGATACGGTAAATTGCAAGTTTCCCTTTCTTTTGCCTGTTGTATGTTGAAAGCGTGTAACAACAGATCCCTGCATTTCCTAATAATTCTGACTTTTGCAGAGTAAATGCCTGCAGGGCATCTACGAGGATCTGAATGCCTACAGGGCAGAGCTGAAGGACTTCAATGATCAAAAGGTGCTGGCAACTATTGATGAAATGATGAAAGTAAGTATTCTGGTTTCCTTCCTTTCCACTATTTCTGTCTCAAACCAGAGTTCTTAATCCAGTTTGCTCCCTTCTGTAGTCAGCGGAATAGTGACCTTACTTTAATCTGGTAATTTTAAAAAATTACCTGTTAATGTTTTCCCTAGAGGGGACTTGATTCTTATGAATTGTGTGTCGCACTTCCTATTTTTTACCTTGCTTATATGGTCAATGCACCAGGACAGGGATGTATGGCTCCTTAGCATCCTCCTTCCTCACTGCTCTGCTCTCACAAGGATTTGGGGTACAGGATTTTCTGCCAGTTCCTCGGAGAACTCAAAAACAGAATAAAAGATAGAGTAAAAGGGAGGTAGCTCCATTTCTCTTCCAAATACTGAAATATAATACACCTGGCACACTGAATATGTCACAGGGTGTACCGAACTTTGAGAAATATTACTAGTGAGTAGAGGGAATAGATGCTAAAAGCTTGATTGTTTGTTTAATAAAAGCTAAGTAGCAAAAAAGTTAATTGCCTTTATATTGACACATCTCACAATAGCTTGGAGATTCTGGCCCTGGGCAGATGAGCTCAATCTAAGGGGTCACGAGATGAAGGTGGTTGTAGGCTTATTGTTTATTCCTAGTCAGAAAGAGCCTTTGTACATGAATGGATAGTTTTATCTCAAGGAAAGTACAGCTGGCTTACTACTAAATATTAATTACTATTATTAATCTAATTAATATGTAATTAAATATTTTACATTTTTCATTTATGAGAATACATTCTAAATTTTAAGTTTTCTCATTTATCGCTCAGGGGGGTGAAAAAGCTAAAGAGGTTTTTATATTAGCCATTTTTCTGGTGATGGTTTGTAACGCCCTTACCTCTTTCCCAGACCCTGAAGTCCACCAGCAGCAGCAGCATCGTGCCACAGCCCTCGGCAGGCGCGGGGCTGAGCTCCTTCAAGGCGCGGATGAGGCTCTGCAGCATCCTTCACGCCTTCCGAATCCGCACCGTCACCATCAACAGGGTGATGAACTACCTGAACTCTCCGGAGAGCTCGCTGTGAGCGTCCAGCCCTCCAGCACTTCGAGTATAAATTCGACCTAAGGATGTTCTGGAGAAAAAAAATAACAGGGTTGATACCCTGGTTTGGGGTTTTTCAGGATTTTAGCGCATAGTATTTCACAGAGTTTCTTATACGTCACGTTTTAGCCAGCTGTTGTCAGCGCCTTTTAAGCTATCATGTTAAGCTTCTGGATTTCTAGAAAATAAGCTACATTCTAGTACCAAAATGTCCTCAAACCACCAAACACTCAGCTCTAATTTGTCTTAACTTTTTTATTTATTCAGCTGTAATTTTCAGAAATTGAAACATATTTATAATAATCAACTTATTTATGATGATATTCCTTATTTATTCTATTTATTGCCTAATAAAGTTAAAGTTTGCATAAAAACTGTGGTGAAGTTTGTTTTTTTTTTCCCCTTCCTTGACATATAACATGAATACTTTTAAAATACTTTGAATAATATTGCTGGCCTGTAAAGGCACAATATAGTAATATTGAGCACTGGTATCACATTTTCAAATCCTGTTCCCTACTTCTTACTTACATCAGACGTGTTCCTGGTGGCTTTTCTCTCAGACCAAGCGCTCGAAGCAACCCATGGGGTTTCAAACTCCTTTACTGAGATTTTCCAGACTGTTACATAGTTTCTTGGGTGAAATCCTGGCCCCACCGAAATCAACAGCTAGATTGTTTGTTTCAGGGAGGTGAGGATTTATGCGGATCTTTGGAGACTGGGAGGGTTGCTGGGTGATTATCATTCTTCGGTGCCGTGATACAACTGTACTGTTTAAATCCCTTCTGTCTGCAAGAATGGGACAAAGCCAAACTAAAGACCACAGAAAAACACTACACTTCTTTTCTAAAAAGGCTTCTTTATTTTGATTTAAAGAACCTGAAGGTTGAAGGCCTTATCATCTCTTTTGACCGTTCGCTATGATATCCAGATACCCTCATTATTACAAATAAGCATCTTATTTCCAGCTTAGATTTACTGATTTCTGGTGCTGCCTTCCAGTGTTTTTTTCCCCTAAAAGCCCCCTTGACAGAAGAGACAGTGAGGTCCTGGGCACCAACACAGCCCTTTTCCTCAGCCACCCTTGGGGATGTACGTAGCAGCGGAGCAGTGATAGTTGGAGATGGTCCACAACATTGCAACCTTGCAACATTTCATCCAATAGCTAAAATCAAATTTTAAAAGATGAAAAATCATATGTAAATAGTGTAAATGTTTCCTTTTTAGTCCTTATTTTTTAAAAAGTATGCATATGCAGAGGAAGATGATCAAAAGAATCCCATGTCTTTAAAAACAAGACAATCTCCTCTATCGGGTCACTGCTCTCTTCAACAAACACCATTATTTCCAAACCTTTTCCAATTCCGTTGTACGTGCACTGCCGAGAGAATAACAGCCTTCGCAGAGATTTTTGCTTCTCCCATTTTTGTTTAAGCACCTAATTCTATTCAAGTTCAAATTAATCAAGTGAAAAAAAAAAGTATAAAAAGTTTATAATATAATACAAAAAAAATTATACAACACAAAAAATTATCTCATAAAAATTGAGACAGACTATACAGAAAAGAGTGAAAAAGAAATTCCCAGGGAAAATTCAAAGCTGCCTGGAGTTAATAGTGGTACTCCCATGAAACCAGTCTTTGGGTTTCTAGAAAAGAGAACTACAGCTTAACAAGGACTGAATGTACATGAGTATATACAGTAATTATTTACATATACAGTGATTACGCAAAGAAATTTATCTGCAAGTTAAGGATTATTCTTCCCTGATCTTGGGCATCTGTAAGAAATACAATGTACCTCATGATTTTGGCAGTTCAATTTTCTTTTTTTTTTAAGGGGACGAAAGTTTCTGCATAACTTTTCTCCCTGTCTTTCCCTGATGTAAATAAAAAGGTTTCCAGATAATGATCATGTACCTGAACAAGGTAATTTTTTTTTTTTTTTTCATTGTTCATGTCTTTTAGGACTGGCTCAGATGAGACAAAGCTGGGTGGCAGTGCTGGCTTTCCCCTGCCATGATGCCGGGATCCACGGCGTAAGGAATTGCTCCTGAAAGCCTTATGGATGCTTATAGCTGCGCCAAATTTCATTCACATTTCTTGTGAAGATCCTGCCTACACAGTTCACTGAGGGGAGGTGCTTTCCACCCTCCTTCCCGAAACTCAGCGAGAAGTCTGGGGAAGCAGCCGGAGAAGCTTCGGTCCCACCACGCTCCTTCTAGCTCCACCTTCACCCGCTCAGCATTGCTCCAAGAAACCTGAGGGAAGGAACACGCACAAACACACATGGATCACCTCATCTCAACAAGTTATTGCAATATTCACCTTGAATAATAAATGTATTAAACACCCATGACACAGCAGGAGGCAATGGCACAGATGGGTTTGTGAGGGTCAGATAAGCAAGGGAGCAGGAGCAGCTGGGTGGCTTTTTAAGGAGAATTAAGAAAGAACAAAGTTTTGCCTGTTCCAGGAAATATAAAAAAAAAAGTATTTAGTTTTTGACAAAGGCTCGCCTTGGCTGGCTGAGCTCTCAGGCTACTGAACAACTTTGGTTGGCATAAGGTGAACCCAACATAAGGATACCCCAGAAATCAGTGGGAGCACCCGTGGGCAGGAAGGAAATACATAGAGGGGTCTGCAGGACCAAACCGCTAAGTCATCCGTCAGGGGAAGGTGTTAATTAACCGTTCCTAAAATACATAAGAGTAAAGACCCAAATATGTCTTCTTCGGACTCCCTGATACAACCAAGGATTGGTTTGGGTATCCACCACTGACTGGTTTGGCCATGGCAGCCGGCTCACGCACCCGGCACTCCCAACACAGTCAGTGCAAAAAAATTACTCATTTTAGATCACTTTCTGAAGGGAAGTATGAAAATGCCACATGAAAGAAAGTCGTTATTAAGATGAGAAGGCAGACAATTTTGACCTACGCAGTAAAACGTGTACTAGGTATTTGGTAAACTCTCTGATGTGAGTTCTTAAAATACATCTGAAACACACTGATGTAATTAAATAAATATAACGGGAAGGGGATACCTTGTAGAGCTTGCAGCACCTCATAGGGTGCTTTTTCCTGGAGACTTCTGTACAAGGCTTCTGCAGTTCCATTGGTTTTTTCTCTGTCTCTCCACTTGCTTAACAGCAGAAATTTTTGCATATTAACTTCTTCCTCCGTTGCCTGGATCTGCTCAATGTCCTTCATTTCCATCTGAAGACACTCAATAGCAATTTCTCTCCACTGCCGACCAAACAGCTTTGCGACCACCATCAGCTGTTGATCAGTTAAGTTTTTCGTTCCAATTCCATCTGAAAATAAATCGAACAAAAAATCAGATTTAAAATTGCTCTCGTCATTAAAGTGACACTATTAGTTTTGCGGGTGGCCAAGGACATACAATGAAGGTGATATTATTCAGACCATCCAGCAAGGTGAGAGCCAAGTGCTGGAGAAAAGTACCTGGAGGACTTAGAAGCCTGCCCCTGAAGATGACATCTGATTGCATGCTGGCTGCTGTAAAGGGTTTTTTTCCCCATTCATAAGCAGCTATTTATCCAGCTGAAGAACTTCCTTGGTACATTAAGTTACCAAACACCCAGAGATTTTAAGATGTATAATGTTAAGGCCGGACTAAGCACTCATTAGTTCAGATGTCTATTGTTCCTGAAACCTACAGCTGCCCCAGGAAAGTGATGTTTGGATTTCCTTTAATTACAATGGCTCAGAAGCCTCAGCCCCTGCTGTTACACAGACTGAGCCGCTTTCCTTCTCCATGTCACCAAGTACACACAAAACTGAGGTTTTGAAAGATGGAAGCTCTCCCTCTGGTGGCTACACGGTTACTTTTGCTGATTTTTTTTCCATTATTTATTGAACTAACATTATTTCTTCTGTATTTTTTCCAAGTAACTATTAGTAAACAAGTAGGTTTTGGGTGGGAGCTCCCAGCCACCAAGCATTTCCAACCACCGGGACCATCCCATGTCAACAAGAAATCAGAGCTGATTTTTTTTTCAGAAAAACTCAGCCTGTTACGGCTCAGCAGATACCCCAAATATACAGTCTAAGACATGTAGTGGAAACTTCTTTCAAAACCAGCCACTACTGGCCAGTCTTAGAAGACAAAACCATTTTATCTGACCCTTATAAATCAAATTTCCTGGCTGCTTCTTCCCCTTTATTTACCAAACGAATGAAAGTGTACCAAAACATACGAATGCAGGTACAAATCCCCTATCTACAAAAGCAGCACTTTCCCCTCCTATATCCCCGTGCCCTTTCAGAAAGTGAGCTCTGGTTCAATTCACAGGACACAAAAAAACAACCACCACAAAACAACTCCAACCCGTTATTTTAAATGACACAGAAATGCTCTACCTGCAGTACTGCCGGTCTTTTGCTTTTTGCTACAGAGCTCATCTTCTTCCAAAATACTGAGTGCTGTTTTCCGTTTTTTGACACCTAAGGTGCAAGCGAGAGGTGACGTTACTTCTCGCACACCACTTGACCTCCAACAGCAAGCGAGGTACACAGAAAATCACTTCACTTCAAATGGACTTACCCACTGCACTTCTTTTCTGCTCATTTTTGTTCTGATCATAATGGATCCAGTCACCTGGTAAACAGTTTTCAGAGGAAACAAAAGGTGAGGTATGAATTCCCATTGCTATGCCCTCCAACCAACAATTCTCAGGCACAAAACCAAGCTGCTGGGTGGGTTCCAGCTATTGAGCTAAGATCTTATATAATGAGATGATTTTTCCCCTTTTATCCAACGTGCTGCAGCACGCCATCTATAATATGCAAGAATTATTCCCAGGAAGTAAAACTAGAGCAGAGCATCCTCCTGCACAGCCCGCAGCCCTGATGCTGCAGGTCACTGCAACATCCACTATAGGACCTCCCGGAGCTCTTCTCTTTGTGTTTTCTCACCTCCAGCTCCAAACCTCACCATTTTAACAGCAGGAATTTCAGCGTATCCAATGGCTGAATTAAATTCCCCCTCCTGCATCTTTTCAGCAGGAACAAACCAGTGGTGGAATAACAAAGACTCACTCTCTCGTAGTTTTGCTTTCCATACGGTCGCATCAGACTCCAGCTCAACCAAAGACAAGGTGAAGTCATCGGGTTTCTCCAAATAGACTTCAATGTAACTTTTTAGTTTCAAGAGAGATCCATCAACAAATTCAATTTCCTGTGCAATGTAAATATGTTAAAAATAAATATTTATCCGAAACATAAATTAAAGAGGAGTTATTTGGCTGTTGGCACAGATCTGAGCCCAACTCCAATCTCCCCAGAGTTTTGCTGTTGACTTTAGCATCAGGATTTCATCCCAAAACTTTTGGGCTCTAAGAGACAAATGCTTTCTGAGGCAATGGCAAAAGAATGTGAAAAACGCCCTTAATACTAGTGCAGGAAAAATCATTCTGTGCCACGTTTCTAACGAAGCTGCAATGCACGACATGAGGGCTGTGTAAGGGACTTACCTCTGGAGTTATTTCAGCTTCTGGCTCACAAACTAATCTATACCTCTTTCCTTTCTGTAGTAGTTTTTGGCATACAGGGGGCTTGTCAATTTTAATGAATTTCTTATTTGAATGTTTTACGGCTCTTGAGATATCCTAAAATTTAAAAATATGATTTAAAGGTTACTCGCTTCAGTAAAGTAATTAACATTTAAAACCTGTGCTAAGGTGGTTCCTTGGGCTTTGCTCTGTCCCCAGCTCTATGAAGTGTCTGCGACCTGTTCTGCAGAGCAAACTTTACAGAAAGCCATGCCCTAAACACCATCCTCAAAAAACATCCAATAAACTTCTTCAGCTATTGTGCTCCATGGGTTAAATTAGATAGAAGAGGTCTGCAACCCCAATGAAAGGAAGGTTATTCACTGCTGTCCTTAGTGTTTGCCTATGGATAGTAGTAGAGAATGGGTGATAGGACAAGAAGCCCTTTCAGGTATAAATCCTGAGCTCTGTGGATTTTGGTGGCAAACGAGTTCCTGATGTATTTCTTTCCTCAGCGAGAAGAGTCAGCACATGGGCTGGTACAACTGCTTAAATATCATATCCTAACTTGGCAGACCTTTTTTGTATAGTATGGAAGTCTCATTATATATACATATAACATAAATATATATATATATTAGGACAAGAAGCCCTTTCAGGTATAAATCCTGAGCTCTGTGGATTTTGGTGGCAAACGAGTTCCTGATGTATTTCTTTTCTCTGTGAGAAGAGTCAGCACATGGGCTGGCACAACTGCTTAAGTATCACATCCTAACTTGGCAGACCTTTTTTGTATGGTATGAAAGTCTCATTATGTATACATATAACATAAATATATATATATGTATCTCCAGAGCTTTGCATGCAAACACCGGACCAAGAGAAGAGCATCTTTTCACTGTACCCTATCCTGAAGATAACAACACCTCCATAACCAGCCCCGCCAGTGTTTCTACATCATGCCACCCTGCACCCCCCCAACGTGAGCCTATCCTGAAGATAACAACACCTCCATAACCAGCCCCACCAGTGTTTCTACGTCATGCCACCCTGCACCCCCCCGACATGAGCCATACAGAATCACAGAATCACAGAATCTTCATGGTTGGAAGGGACCTTTGAGATTATCGAGTCCAACCATACACAAAAAAACCACAACGAAAACCCAACCCAACAATCTCAGGCACTACCTTTATAAAGGAGTCATTGTTCGTAGCCACGTAGACCCGGAAGGATAAGGAGGGATGTTGGTCGACGACTTTGTAGAGGATGACGGCGCCGTGGTACTGCACCGGCTCCTGGCTCTGGATGAGCGGTCCCACCGGCGAGAGGGAGCTCACCAGCCACTTCACGTGGGAGGCCGAGTAGTCGGCGGAGGGCTCGATGGCTGCGCCCTCCCCTTTGATGTGCAGAACCTTGAAGGCCATGTCAGCGCCATGATCTGCAGGGACACGGGGACATCTCAGCGCCTCCTGCCCCAGGGAGCCCGGAGGGCTCGATGGCTGCGCCCTCCCCTTTGATGTGCAGAACCTTGAAGGCCATGTCAGCGCCATGATCTGCAGGGACACGGGGACATCTCAGCGCCTCCTGCACCAGCGAAAACCCAACCCAACAATCTCAGGCACTACCTTTATAAAGGAGTCATTGTTCGTAGCCACGTAGACCCGGAAGGATAAGGAGGGATGTTGGTCAACGACTTTGTAGAGGATGACGGCGCCGTGGTACTGCACCGGCTCCTGGCTCTGGATGAGCGGTCCCACCGGCGAGAGGGAGCTCACCAGCCACTTCACGTGGGAGGCCGAGTAGTCGGCGGAGGGCTCGATGGCTGCGCCCTCCCCTTTGATGTGCAGAACCTTGAAGGCCATGTCAGCGCCATGATCTGCAGCCACACGGGGACATCTCAGCGCCTCCTGCCCCAGGGAGCCGGTGGCACCCCGTGCCCGCTGGGCCAGTGGCCGGCACTCACCACCGAGGCAGAGGGAGTGGGGAAACTGGATGGAGGTGAGGGCGCGGGACGAGTCGCAGTGCACATCGAAAAGGGGGCCGCCCACGATCCACGGCTTTTCCACAAGGTTGGCGTATTTGCTCCAGGATAAGAGGGAATATGTGATTTTGACGGCCTCCGTGACCTCAAAAATCAAGCCCGTCAGGCTGCACTGGTAAGTCCCCTCTGCGTCCAGCTGCACCCTGCCGTGGGAAGAGAGACCCGGTTAGCTTCATTTCCACTGCCTAATAAATACTATAAAAGTGTGGTTTGCAAGGGATAACGGAGAAACTCCCTTCCCAACTTTATCTGGGATAGCACTTTATCTGAATAGCACAGAAGCCACAACAATTTTTTTTTACTCCGGTTCTCTATGTTCAAACCGTCAGCAGAGTGTTAAAAACTGGCTGGGAGGACCCAGCCAGCGCACGCAAAATAGCTGTAATGAACGTTTTTGCATAACATTTCCTGCAAACGAAGCAGCTGCTTCTCCACGAAGGGCTCAGCCCAGCTCCCATCGACATCGGAGCCAACATCCTACGCTGACAACACCCACATCACGCACGGACAACACCGACATCACACGCTCCTGAGGACTTCCAAGCCAGAGAGAGGGAACACAAGAACTGGCGCCCAACAAAAAATGCAAGGTCGGTGCAAACGGGGAGGATGAGAGTTCCTGTGAAGCGGGAAAGACACCTCCAGAATCAAAAAGCACATAAAAATGTGCCTGATGTTAATTAGCGCAGCAAGACGGGGCAGGCAGGAAGCCGTCTTAAGAGCCTTCTTGAACCAGGATTGGGAGGCAGCATGGGAAGCTGCTCTAAATTGTTTATTTTGAAGGATTTGGGGGCATCCGTTATAACTCCAAATGTATTTGTGCAGCAAATTAGTCTTTTTCCCACTCAAATTGAAGAAAGAAGTAACTTGATGAGAACAATATAAATGTATACCCATTCTATTAAAAAAAGACATACACATGTTGTCCTCCAGCAAGTCTCCTGGGGGTCACCTGCTCCTTCTGGTCCTATATAGATAAAAGAAAAATACATCTTTAAAAGAGTGATGAGAGCACAGAATTATAATTTGTAGATGATTATCTCATGCAAAATATGTGGAGTTTGGGTTTTTTTTTTTATAAACATACATTTATGTTTTTGCAGTGCTCACAGGGTGGCAGACAGTTCACTCCTAGTGAGAAAAGAGGAAGATCAGCTCATTAAAAGCGAAGTAATTAAGCACTCAGAAAAAAAAATAAAAATCCCAACCCTCAAGAGATCTGTTACTACCTGACTCATTGCAGTGCGGTAGCGGTTCCTTCTCCTCCTGTTCTTCATCTACAAAAAAAAGAAGTTTGCAGCAAATACCTCAGCCTCCAGCTGGTTTCTGCTCCCATATTCAGCAAGGGCAACCCACTAGTTTAATTTGTTTACATTAGAATATACCTAAGGAGAATATTCCTAAGACTAAGTCCTTGCACACACGCTTGCACACCTGCGTGCGCAGGCTTTGCGTGGGGATGAAGCTGAACATCAGGACACCACATTTTGTCTTATCTCATTAGTTGCCCAAACTACTGGAAATTTTCACAGGGGTTAAAAAAAGATACATCCCCGGGATGAGATTTATTGTGCCAAGGACAAAGTTCAACCAGCAGGCACGGAAACTGGCAACGGCACTTTCCAGTGAGCGGGTAAGCACACTCGAGCGGCGTATTTGTCCCTAAAATGACTTAAAGGTGCCTGAATCCTCCTTACCAAACCCAACACTGCAGAAAGTTAGAAGAGCTGATGTAACGGGCAAAAGCATAGCCCGAAGGGTGGATTTTGGACAAGCCATGCGACAGAGCTGTTGTGACAAGGTACTGCTGCGCTGCTCGCTCCCGCTCCTCATCCCACAACCCCCCCTCCCTGCCAGCAGGGACTCCATCCACACTGTCCCAAAGTCACCCTGGGACGTCACCACCCCGCCGGGCAGGCAGATGTGGGAGAAGGCAGAAAACGACCCGCCTGGAAAGCATCAGGCAAACACCCGCCAGCGCCTTGGCCCCCTGCCCGCAGCCACGCTATTTCGGTCCCTGGGCTGCAGTGACCCACGGGGGCTCCCTTGGCAAACAGAAGGATGGCACACGCACCCCTTCCTCCCCGGGTGTGCTCTCTAGCAAGGGGTTTTATGGAAAGACACGGAGGTGACGGCTGGGCCAGCACTAAAGCACCCTCTGGCCACCATGTCTCCCTCCCCTCCTGCATCACTGACCAGGGCTGGCTTCCTCGTGCCTTCAGAGGGGGATATAAGGACCAAAATAAAAGCACACTCACCCGACCTCCTTCCATCCGACTCCTCCGCGTCTGATGAGGAAAAGCTTTGTAATTATTAAACTAAAGGCCATCAATCTCCCATGAAACCAGAATAAACTGCTGGTGGTGTAACCCATGTAAGCGCAAACCCGCAGGCTTTTCATCAACAGCGAACGCTTCCTCTAATTCTTTTCCTGTCCATCCTGTTTTGCCACTTTTGCTGCCAACTTTTAAGCAGATTTATAGCCCCTTGGTGTTTGGACAACTACTGTGGTGTAAAAACATCTGCCTGTATTGTGTCTGCGAGGCTAAAGCAACATTAGCTGCAGCTCCTCTATTATTGCTCTGCTCAAAACTGAGCGGCCGGGAAATCATTTGCTCACAAAAAAAATACCATTCTGCTTTTCAGCATGCAATCACTGAATTAACAGTCTCATACAATAACCCCGCCACTATTCCCATGAAAAGCAGCTGGGTGAAACTGAATGTATATTTTTCCAAAGGGAGAAAATACACAAAGCGTAAGGCGATGCTCACCTGACTCCTCCTCCGAGCTACTGTCGGAGCTGTTCTCAGAACTGCCCTCTCCTGAACAAAACGACATCCCATCAGTGACAGGCAGAATAAAATAAAACAATACCACGGGTAAGTAAAAGGATACATCTAGAAGTTTAAATACATCAGGAAGTTAGATAACATAACACAGTGGAAAAAATATTGAGGCAGAGAGGAGCATCAGAGCATCAAACACCAGCACCAGAGGAGACTTAGAGGTCACCCTTCTGAAGTGTACGTGTGATGTTCAAGATGCTTAATTTTAATGTTTCATCCAACCTGGGACTATTCAAGAGCTTCATCCGTGGCATGTCCCAGACCACCCAGTTAAATTATGGTTTTCTGTGACACGCACATGAGATGGGTGAAGCATCAGTGGGAGCCGGTGTGTCCCACCAGTGATGGGACTCATGGGGATGCACCAAAGGCAGCTTTAATAAATTATTCTGTCGAATGCAAGTTAAAAAGAAACCAGCATTGCAAAGCAAGTGACTTAAGGAGTTGCAGCTGTGTCTACACTGTGGTTTTTATCACGGTGTGGGGAAACGGGGGGTGCAAGGCCGACCACACCATCCCACGTGTGGGGAAGGCCATCAGCCACTGGTCTGCTCACCCACTGGGTGCTCCTCGGCCGAGCCCTCTCCCTCCGCACTGCTGGCCACCACTTCTGCAAAAGAAAAGCAGGCAGGGGATATGAGCTTGAAAGAAATTTAACTCTTCTTGGTGTTTTTGTACTATGCAGGTCAGAAGAAGGGAATAAATAGCGAAGGAATAAGAATTTTAAAACTCAGTATGAAAAAAATCAAAACTCTTACCCATCAAACTAGGGCATTTCACCGCATTTTTTAAAGTCAGCAGTTATTAAACTGACATTTTAAATTGGAATAAAAAAGATTCAGATTAGATATCAGGAAGAAATTTTTTACTATGAGGGTGGTGAGACACTGGCCCAGGTTGCCCAGGGAAGTTGTGGATGCGCATCCCTGGAGGGGTTCAAGGCCAGGCTGGATGGGGTTTTGAGCAACCTGCTCTGGTGGGAGGTGTCCCTGCCCATGGCAGGGGGTTGGAACTCGATGATCTTTGAGGTCCCTTCCAACCCTAACCATTCTATGATTCTATGATTTCCATTCCAAAGGATGGGTATTTTTCGGAACAAACCCATTTGACACGCTGTATTTCATAAAATTACCATACCTTTTTCATCTGAAGAGAGGGACTCGGCTCCACTGGAAGAGAAAACAGGAAATAGATGAGCAGACTGGTCAGAGCTTTGCTGCACCTCCACACCTCCCTGCTGCTGGCATCGCTCCTGGGCTTTGGCCAGGGAATCGGGGGCTATAAGGTTACTTAGGATGGGAGGTTGGTGATTAAAAATTAATTTTCTCTAACTTCACCCACGGCCCTAGCTCTCGCCCTGGCCGTGCCAGGGATGCCTGGTTCTTCTGCGCATGTTTCCCACCGGCACGAGCCCTCGGCCCCTTTTGCCAAGTGCCCGTTGGTTTTGGTAGGAATCCAACCAATCTTCTTCGCCGAGGCATGAAGCTCAGATAAACACAGCGGCTCAGACGTGGCAGACAACTCCAAAAGACCCCCCACCACCCATCTGTGGTAAATCCAGACCAACCTTCCAGTCTCCATTCGCTCTCAGAAAGGGGGAAGTGTGCTAGTTTTATCATTTACGCTTAAAGATCAGGTCTGGAAACCTTTGTGTGGAGCTCCACAACATCCTCCCTGTGGCCCCACTGAATAACCACCATAAAAGCTGCTGCCCTGGGCACACTTGCCATAAACCAGCAGGTGACATCCAGCTCTCCTTTGCTTTGGTGGCACGAGCAACTATTGCAGCCCCCTCCACCCTTGCCCACAGCCAGCTGGAAGAGCAGGCATATGCCACGCGGGCAGGGAAAGAGCAAATATTCCCCCACTCTTTGGAGGCAGGTGGGGAATTTCAGTGCCACCCTGGCCACGCCAAGGGATGCTGGCGATGACGAAGCCAAGCAGTGGCAGTGACAGGTCAGCAGCTCAGCAGCTCAGCAGCTCAGCAGCTCAGCTGGGGAGGCTGATTTTGGTGTTCCCAGGCTGCCACCGTACACCCACAGCCTGTCCAGCAGCAGAAGGGTGCCACCAGGGTGGGTGGGCATCACCACGGGGGCCAGAGCCTCAGCTGCTGCCACATTGGAATGGCTCAAAAACAAAATATATAATAATAATATAAAAAGGTGGTAATGACAGAGGCAGGAAAATAAACCCCCTAACATATGGCTGAGGCACTAGGTGAAGCACTACAAGCAAGGGGGGGTCCTGGGCAAAGCGTGGCAGGGTGGGTGACCTCGTGGGGATGCTCCCACTCAGCCTGGAGCTGGAAGAGTTTATCTGCCAAGGGCAGGGAAAATGCTGCTGCAGTCAGTTGGGCACAGAGGAGAAACCTGGGCAAGGGTTTGACCGCGGGCACGGATGGGAAATTACACAACAACGGGGCTTGTGCTTCCAAACTGTATCTTAAAAATAAGTAAATAATGACCTACTATCTGCAAGATTTGGACCCCAGAGACGGCACTCAAGCCAAGTGCTGTTTGTGCAACCCTTCCACCAAGTGCTGACTTGCTAAATAAGGTTCGCCTGCCCCTCGTGGCTGCGTTTCCCTCCTCCCGGGCTAAAGAACACGCTCCGGAGGAGAGGAGGAGGGAGCAAAATAAAAAAAAAACCAACCCCAGCCCTATTGAGTGCAAGACATTAATTGCCCCCAAGTAACTACAAGAGGGCAAAAAGGCACTGCCCGCTTCACCCCCTGCCCTGCCGGGTTGTGCTGGTGTTTCCCAGCCCCCGCTGAAGCAAAACGAAAAAGGGAGGGGTGATGTGGGGGGGGCTGCAGCTCTAGAGGGAAAAGATAAACAAGCTCGTTTCTCAACGGCCCCAGCTGCCGCCGGTTGGGGCAATCCCCGGGCTGCAGCCCCGGGGCAGCGGGGCTTGGGGA